AAGGAACAATAAAGATTGGTTAGATATGTGATAGTATACAACTAGTTTATAACCTCTGAGAATCACGATTATAAAATTAATTCAACTTTTATAAAAAAAATTCAAAATTATTAATCAGTTATTTTAAATAAATTATTAATTTAAGAGATATTTTTTTAATTATGCGAAGTTATAATCATTGATTCAAATAAATATATAAAATTAATTTTTAATATATATTAGACATTTTTTATTTGTGAATTAATGAAAACATTAATATAAAATTTAAATTTTAAAATCCCTATACTAATAAAAGAGTAGTTCTTTTGCCACGTGTCATCATATTAGACCTTTTAATTAATGTGTTGCCACTTGTCAATATATTAATTCTCCATTTAATTTTTTTTTTGATCTCCTCATTAATGTGATGCGATTTGTCAATATATTTATTCTCTATTTGTCAATATATTAGTTCTACTCTTTTATTAGTATAAGGATATGAAGAAAAAACTAACAGAAAAGGAAATAAAAAGCTAACCATCATCCATTTCCTCGTTTCATAAAATTCCCAAATGCTATGAGGATTCAGATATGTGCAAGCTCTAACTTCTGATGTATGAAAAAAAGGAAGATGAAGAAACATGATTAACATCAACAATGCTCACCAAAACATACCTAATAAAAAATAAAGTTAATTTCAGCAATGGATGATAGGCAAAATTAAAAAGAAGAATACAATCTTGGATAAAACATTAGTGAAGCTCGACACGATATACATAAGTTACCTGAAGTATGAAAAAGGCACATGCCCTAAGTTCTGATGTATAAAAAATCACAGAGAAGTAGAAGAAAACATAAACTAATTTCATACCTTAGCATTGGTAGCCTTCTTCACTCGTCTCCCAAAAAGACTTCAAAAAATCAGTGTAAATACATACAAAAAAACAGATACACACACAGAGAGAACTCAGGTCGTGATGGTGATAGCAATGAACCACTAAGAAGCTTACTCTGGTGTTAACTAGCTTACTGAACTCAATGAGAATTTGTAGGGAAAAGATATTTCGTGGCTAGACATAGATGGTAGTCGAAGGCGGAGGAGGTGAGCCCTAATAATGCGTGAAGTGCGAGTTTTGATTTATTCCAATTTTAATGATTCTCCTAACTTTAAACATGAATTGTTGAACTTCAGCTAAAAATAGGGAAACGCAGAGATATGAGGAATCTAAGATTAAAATTTGAATCTCATAATGGATTAGTGACGCTATTTGGTTTTTGGATAGAATGAACCACCACCATAGTCAGACCTTCAACAAAATAGAACACCATTGTGAGCCATAGTCGAATGCATTTACTCAAGCCATTACATAACCACCTATCGTAAAAGGGAGAATCGGTAGTGGTGGTGTGGGGGGTTGGCGGTTGTAAATGTTGTTGCTCTTCTGGTCGTGCGATTCTCCTTCCATTGTCCCAAACTCATATCTGATCTTCAAAACTCAAAAAGCAGTACAAAATGAAACCCAAAATCACTAAATATTTAAAAAAAAAAAAATACATGCCTTCAGTGGATCTGCCTTAAAATCTTCGTGAAAGCAACATCGTTTGTAAGGAAGAAACAAAAAACAAACTTCGATTCGATGGCTCTACATTAGATCTAGGTTGACATTTTAGAAGTTGACGCATTACGTCCATTCTGCGATGTTTGGTGGGTGTTTTAACAACAAAGTTGCAGATCATCGAGAATTCAAATGGAAAAAGTTATGTCTAAGGAGAACAAGAGAGATAATTAAGGAAACAGACTCATGCCAGATCAATGTGATGAGTGACTCAAGGGAACTTCTATTCGAAGGCGTCTTCAATTTTATATGAAGAATGAACAGAAATTGCTACATATGGGGAAATGCCGAGGTAAGGGAATGAGCCAGTCAAAACTACTCCTTAATAAGAGGTCCTTAGACTTTTTCAATGGCGACCAAATAATTTTAATGCTTAAAGTTGTTGTACATGCTCTTTTAAGGAGTGTACCTTTTAAAATTAAGCATTTGAGGCTAAATGTTTATTAAGGTGTGTGTATATATATATATATATATATATATATATATATATATATATATATATATATATATATATATATATATATGTGTGTGTGTGTGTGTATATATATATATATATATATATATATAGAGAGAGAGAGAGAGAGAGAGAGAATATGACGTCATAGGGTGTGGTCTTGCTCAACATTATGGATCTTTTTATCTAGATATAAAGAGGAAGGGTTAATGACTTAGGAGGGTAATAAGGTTTTAATTTTGTTCATAATAGGTCTTTAAGGTTTTTTTTGTACATATTACACCAACATGATTGTTATAACCGTTTAAAAAAGGTAATAAGGTTTTAATTTTGTCCACAATAGGTCCCTGACGTCTTTTGTTGTACATATTTCACCAACATGGTTGTTATAACCATTTAAAGAAGGGTAATAATGTTTAATTCTGTCCACATTAGGTCCTTATTTTTAATATGTTTATTATTTCATCTAACTCTTTTACAATTTATATTAGTATCTAGTTAGATGGCTTCATCATTTTATCTTCTCATTTTATCATTGCAACGATTAGGTTTGTTCTAATATTGGTACAATTTGAATGGTTTTGATATGCGATTATATTATCAACAATATAATCGCATAAACTTCAATTCCATCGCATATCAAAACCATTCAAAAAAAAAAAATTCTTTTAGCCACAGGACATCCCAAAATTGAAGTTTATGCGATTATATTATTGATAATATAAACTTCTCGAACTACATCGTTGCAATGCTTTTTGATTTTATCTTAATTACTACCAAATCCTTTATAACACGAAACTTGTACAAAAGTGTGACAAAATGGAAACACACCAAATGCATGAAGGTTTTCCTAGTGGAATACCAATTGGTTACAATATATATATATATATATATATATATATATATATATATATATATATATATATATATATATATATATATATATATATATATCAGTTATATCTGCATAAAACAAAAGTGAAAACCCAAATTATTTATCAGTTTTCCATCAAAGAATCGACAGTGTTGGTGTTCGCATACTGTGGTCTGTTGCAATTACTTTGCTATTGGTTTCATGGAAGCCGATGGTGTTTGCAGTTCCATCATGTGGACGTGTCACATCCAGATTGACATCTTGCTTGAGTTTCATAAATGGTCATGAGCCAACGAATTCTTGTTGTTCATCAGTCAAGGGTTTGACAGCTATGGGGAAAACCAAGAATGATCGTGTGGCTATCTGTAACTGTGTGAAACAAGTCATGAAAAGATTGAACAATTATGATCCAAAACGAATCACTCTTCTTCCTAAAAAATGCCATGTTGGTTTGAAGTTTCCTCCCATTAATCAGGACTACGATTGCAAAAAGTAGTTTTAATTCTGGCTCTTTCTTGTTCATTGTTAATTGTTGATGTGTAAATACTAAAGCTTATGTCTTATTTGCAGGGTGGAAGTTGACATGTTGATGTGGCGTGAGCAAGGACTATAGGAATAACATGAACCAATGTACTTGGTAAATTATGACTGTATTTGAATAAATGTTTGTGTATATTGGAATAACACCATTGCTTCTTTATATACATATGATGTAATGCTAGTTATTGTAAAGATTATTCAACGATTTAAATTTACAAGAGTGATGTTTTCAATAGTATGTAACAACCTAAATTTTAAGGTACTTGGATGTGATCGTTTTATTCGACATGATAAAATAAATGGGGTAGAATTTGATTTACTCTGAATAAGGCTGTTTGACAACAAATCATACAATAAAAAGGGAGAAATAAACTTGTCTTTAGCATCCCAATTAAGGCACTTTTAGAGGTATAATCCGTACTTTTATTTGAAATTTTGGTAGTTTAATATGGCTAAGATGTTAATAACAAGTGATTTCATTTTGTAGGTTTAGCATCCAAGTTACTTTTAGGAATATAATACAATTGCTTTTTTTATATACATATACTTGAAGTAGTTTGTCCAAGTATATATGTGATGGTTGTATGACTCTAGTTACCTAGAGAAGACTTTATATCAGTCTTAATTGGTAGTGGTGGATTCAAAGCGACTCTATTTTGAATGATTTTCTTGCTAAAATTTTCGTGTCTCATATTAACAATTGAGAAAATTATAAATATGGCCTAATCTCTTAATAATTTTGTGAAGAAAAAAAAAACAGATTACATATATAGCCATGAAAATCGTAGATGGATTAAGCCCATCTGCGATTATAGCATTCCATCTGCGAACGTACAAGTCGCTAAAGCAAAGCGTTTGCATGTGGTTTTTTTTTTTTTTATAGTTTTTCTGATTTTTTCCGTATAAATATGTAAAATCGCAGATGAACTGCCTCTCATCTCACCTGCGATTTTGCATTTTTTTTACTATGAAATTGATAAGGTTTGACAACGAAAAACATTATTATATATAAAGTTTTGCAAAAAATTATCACTTTAGTTGTTATTTCTTTGGAAAATTTGTTTAAAACCTCTCTAATAAAATGAATTCTCCAACAAAAAGTTTGAAAAATGAAATCATCCATAGTGCCTCCAGAGAGAGAGTTCTCCAACAAAAAGTTAGAAAAACGAAAGAAAAAAAAATTACATTTTTATACCCTTGAAAAAGGAGAAATCACAGATGAACACAAAATCACAAATGGACTGAGTCCATTTGCAATTTCGATGACTATTTTTGTAATTTAAATTTTTTTTTGCTATATTTCACAGAGTAATTAAGAGATTAGGCTGTTTTTGTAATTTTCTGTTAATAATTTACCTATTATTTTGGGCCGCTTATATTGGTCTACTAGAGTCTTTTGGTACCAACTAACTCCCACTCCATTTGAAGTGCTTAAACCATAATAGTAAAGACCATTATAAATGAAACAAGTGTAGCGATGAAGATGATACAAACTAACTCCCACTCCATTTGCTAATTGAAATAACAAAGTAACTCACTCTACATGTACTTACATAAATAATGTGTTGTATAAAATTGGAGAAGATGGTTACAAACTAGATTACATTCATTCCTTCCATACTCCACTACACTACAATGCTAAAAACGCCTATCTATAATCACATTTCATAATATACTCCAAAAAAAAAAAGCATTGAGAAGGAGAAAGTTACATTTACCTGAAGGTAACGATTGGTGTTGCATGATTCTCAAAATCCGGCTGTGGTGGCTTGGGTGGCAGCATTATTTGCCAAACAGGTTTTGACAATTGTGTGTAATTATTATATGTCTGATTCTTGCGCCTCAACACGCGCAAGGCATTTGAGGAAAATCTAGCAGCATAAATGGAGGCACCAAGGCTGAGTGTGGAGGTTTCCTTAACAAAGGCATCATGCATTCTACTATCCTCCAATGCTTTCTCCATTTCCAGCTTCCTTCTCCAGTGTCTACGCCATGCCGACTGTATGTAGCATGCTGCCCATGTCCTCCACTGCTGTGAGTAGAATCTAACAAACAAACACAAATCCGAAAAGAGCAATTAATTAATTAATTAAAGTTGAAAAGGAGAAATAAATTAACATTGTTACCTAAAAGTATGCTGGAGATGTCTGCTGTGGAGACGTTTAAATTGGGAAGCCACAAACATGAGATCATCAACTGATAGAGCAAAAGCTTCAACATCTGTAAGTGCTTGAACAGTTCTAGTTGAGAAAGGGAGTGTTGGAGTTGGAGGAGCCAAAGCCCATGTCAGAAGCTCTTCTCCACAGAAGTCACCAGCCCTGAGGTGATCAGAGTTGAAGAAGCCAGCCCTTCCACCATCAGTTGTAATACTTTGTAGGGTCCCACGTGTGATGAAGAGCATCTCAGGTACTGGATCTCCCTCTCTGAGTATGTAACTATTCTGTGTGTAAAGAACTGGCTTCAAACGATCACACATGGCATCCATCATATGTTCATCCATTGCTTCAAACATAGGTACCTGGATGGATACAGTCCCGGACCAAAATTGAAAAGGTTAGCTTTACTCGGGGACCAAAAACGTAATTTTTACGCTGATACATATTTTTAGTTAAGAAATATGAAATATGACTGACTCTCATGAGTGAAGACAAGCAAAGATGACGTTTTATGTCCCTCCTCAAATCCCGAGGAAGGTCTTTGACAAAGGAATCTAACTCAACACCCTTTGTTATCTTCCATTTGTAATGCTTGTGTCTTCTAACTCGCTCCCTTAAATTTTCAGGGAGGGAAATATGTGACATGAGATCCTCTGCTTCTCGCCTTTTTTCCTTCATCTCCTCCACTCTTAGAGTCAGGTTTGAGAAAGACTGCAAGTATTTCTGTAACAACAATTATATTAATTAGCTCATAAATTATAAATACAATGTGGAAACGTATTTAATTTAGTGATTACAATATACGAATTGAACCTGCATGTTGCCAATAAGCAAAGCGAATAGAACAAGCCCAATTATGGCAATGAAGTCTGCAAATAAAATCTCCCCATAGAAAGTGCTTGCTTTAAGTCCTTGACCAAGTGAACTGGATCACAAAAGAAAAACATTTTTATTACAAAAAAAAAAAAAAGTTTGTTATCTCATTTAGATGAAGTGATTACTAACCTTAGACTCTGCAAGCCCCACCATGAACAATACAAGAATTTCTGAGGGAAGTCTCTAGTTTCCAGCACACGAGTTTGAAGAGCATCAAGGAATATTCCAAAATCAAAGTTTGTTGAACCTTTAATTTCATTTCGCTCAAGAAGAGGGCATGAATCGTTCAAAAACCCAAAATCGCCAACACGCCCTTCTCCACAGTATAAATACTTGGAGTAACAATTATTCCTTTCACATGCAATATCCCAACATCTCATTTCACTTTCTATTGCAAACAAGTACCACAGGGCTCCAACTACCTGTTTGCAAAACAAATCTTTATTACCAAATACATTTTATGGAACATATATTTTTTTCCTGTAATATGGTTAGGAATCCATGAAATAGTACTTACATGGCTAGCTAGCACATAGAGGAAAAAGTTAAAAGCGCCTCCAGCCCATGCTTTTTCAGTGAGGAAGCCAGAAATTTTCGTCACCTTTTTATAGAACAAAGAAATCCGAATAACTCGAGGGACATATTGAGAGAAGATAATGAGCTTCAAAAGTCTTTCAGTCAGAAATGGTGTAGGGCCATCTAAGTTTGGGATAATTACCAGAATTGCCAACTGCACAAACAATCTTTAATTCAAGTTCATATATAACTAGACATAGACCAAAGTTAACTCATTAAGGCAAAGATTTTAATCCAGACATACCTGTGGAAGTGGAAGAGCTGCTAGCACATCAATGATGAAGTAGGATGTAAGGTAACGTTTTGCCACATAATGAGGTTCGTCTATAAATACTCTCTTTCCAAGTATGTGATTATAACGAGGAACATATGCAGTTCGGAATTGGATAATAATGTGAAATACAAATAACATATCCGCAAAAGAGCGAAGAACACATACAATTATCTCCAACTTGTGGTCAACATCAAGGCATTTTTTTGTGCCATCGATTATCGGAATATAGAAAAATAATGGATCCAACGACAATGCTATAACAGAACATAGTAAAAAGGTTTTGTTCCATTGAAGAATAAATCGCTCTTCTGGATCAAAAAACTTCATCAAAATTCTCGAGAAACGCTGACTTTTCCTCAAATATTCTCATATAACAAACACATAGCAGTTATAGACAAAAAAAAAAAAAAAAAAAAACATGTCGAATCAAAAGAAAGGAGCCGACATAAATTAAACTGAGAAAGAGACAGATTGTGGTGGTGAAGCGTTAAGTAGGAAGCTTCCTGTAAAGTAAACGGAAGCATCGTCCTCCTCTAATGAATCCAAATTTTGACTTACCTTCTTCAAACTGGTGCAGTTGCCGGTTCGCCTCTGTTTCTCCACAAAAGATTACACAACGACTGATATGGACCACAGAATAACAAAATAAACTTTTTAGCAAAAGAATTATGTGTGGAAAAATAACACTTAAAATATCTTAATGAAATTAATAAAATTGAAAATTATAAAAATAAATTATATAATGAACCAAAACATAATTTTAATTTGTGAGGTAATTCTTTTGTAATTTCGTATATAGAATGAGATTTAAAAATATTAAAAATCCATATATATATATATATATATATATATATATATATATATATATATATATATATATATATATATATATATATATATATATATATATATAGAGGTTCAGGTTCATTTGAAACCATTCTAATTTTGTGAGACCGTGAAACCAAATCTAAAAATAATTTTAAAATGCAAAATAAATGGAAAAATCCAAAAATTCTTTTTTTTAAATATTATTTTCGGAACTTGAATTAACTAAAAAAAATATAAAAATAAATAAAAATAAATAAAAAAAATTCTGTTTTTTTTTTTTGAAAAATACGTGAAATATTCTAAATAGAATATTACACTGACACATTCTAAAAAATAATTTTAAAATGCAAAATAAATGGAAAAATCTAAAAATTCTTTTTTTTAAATATTATTTTTGAAACTTGAATTAACTAAAAAAAATAAAAATAAATCTATTTTTTTTTTAAAATACGTGAAATATTCTAAATAGAATATTACACTGTACATATTCTAAAAATAATTTTAAAATGCAAAATAAATGGAAAAATCAAAAAATTCTTTTTTTAAATCTTATTTTCGGAACATGAATTAACTAAAAAAAATAAATAAAAAAATAAAAAAATGCGTCTCACGGTCTCACAAAATATAGGTGGTCTCAAATGAACCTAACCCTATATATATATATATATATATATATATATATATATATATATATATATATATATATATATATATATATATATATATATATATATATATATATATATATATATATATATATATATATATCAATTGGGCTACAAAAGTATTAAAATAAAATTTCCATCAAAAAATTATGAGAAAACGAAACGGATGAAAATAAAATTTGAAAGTATATTTTAAGGAATTTATAAAAATGAAAACTATAAAAAAAATTATATAACAAATTATAAATATAACTTTAAAATATAGTAAATGATCAAAATCGTAGCTTATCAAATCCCTATATTTTAATTTTAAAAGTATAAATAACAAAAAGTTTTAACTCAAAATGATTTGACAGAAAAAAAAACTATAAATACGAAAATCAATTATGGTAGGAAACAAAATCTATGTTCGAGTTAAATGCTTATTTTACTCTTATACAATATAATTAGGTTAAAACACGTGGATAGGGGTTTTAACGGGGTGATTCGGTTCAGATAGTAATAAAATTGTGAACCGTCATCACGGGGCGGGTACTTCATGTGCACTAACCGAAACCGAACCGAATTAGCAAAAAAATCGAACCGAACCGAACCGTATAAAGGCGGGTAACCGCGGTTCGGTTCACGGGTACCCGCTAAATATAAAAATTTAAATACAATTAAAATTACAAACTTCATTCCAATGATTTCTTTCTAAAAATTACTAAGTCCAAAGAATTATAAAAATATAATAAAGGTCAAATAACATACAATATAATTGGTATAATAAATATAAAAATAAAAATAGAAGAAAACATAACGTAGAAGTGTAAAATTGGAATAGCCAATCATGATATTTGTTTGGGATATGGCTAAAAGTTCAATGAAAATGAATATATATATATATATATATCAAGCGGTTCGGTTCGGTTATCCGCGGATACCTAAGTATCAAAACCAAAACCAGCCCGTTGATATCCGGTTTTTTCGGTTTCGGTTTTTTTATGTTTCGGTTTTTTTCGGTTTCGGATCGACCGGTTCGGCTCGGTTTTACGGTTTTTTTGCACACCCCTACCCGTGGAATCACGGGTGTTGATTTTTAATTGAATTTAAAAATAAATTATTTAATAAAATAATATTTCTTTAATTTAGAAAACTTATGAATTTTAATATTGTATTTTTAAATAACATTTTGATTCGTAAGTATTTAATTACAAAGTAAATGGTAAGTATTTAATTAGAAATGTAGATTTTTGAAAACCCTTAAGTTACATACGCTTGTTATTTCCTATAATTCTAATAAATATTAATTGAAAAATTAAATAATAATCAATTAGTAAATAAATGGTAATTTAAAATTATGCCAATTAATATTTTACATATTTATGTTATTTGTCTTTAAGTTTATAACTTAATTCTATAATGTAATCAATATTTAATATGTTTTGATGATATTTATGATGAGTTGTTTAGAAAAAAAAAAAGAGTGATTAAAAATGTTGATATTGTGTAATGATATATAAATTATATTTACTTATAATTGTGGACAATAATATATAAAATGATATTAATAAATTTAAATGACATTCTAAATTGTAGTGAAATACATAAAACATTATCACTAACAGTACAGTAATAACTTTAAAACACGTAAGTTAGCATAAAAAGTACCCAATTTATTGCATTAAGAAGATACCTCCAAATGTCTATGGAGAGTTCGCATACCAATAAGCCTAATGCAAAATCAATTATAAGAATCAGATAAATCATGAGATTCTGGTTCAAACAAATTAGGTTAAAAACCTTTTGCTAGCGTCGATTGCAAATCGAGACAAAGGTTGTGAAATTGGAAGTGTTAATAAAATTCAACACATCCTTCCATCTATTGTTCATATATCTTGATTACAAAACCAGTTAATGGAAATAAATTAGGATTTATAAACGTAAATATTTTAAAATTGAAGGTGTTACCTATGTAATTGTGGAGTAGTTCTTATTGGGATTGATACCTTCAGATTTGGGGGTAATGTGTTAGTCGTTTCCAACTCCTCAAAATCCCATTGATCTCTGAGCAAGACAAACAACACAAATGAAAGATTAATAAAACCAAGATCTAATTGAGATGAGTATTTAGAAGATGACAATGGTTTACAAAAAACCATGACCTATTCGGAGGCGACTTGTTCAGCAAGATAACACGATACAGATAACATAGAGAAGAAGATGAATTTAGGATTAAGCTGGTACATATATATATTTTTAAATATTAACATATTTTAATCAAGTCTTATACTCTGGTTTTTTTTAGGATTTCCGTTTCAAATCTTGCAAGATATAATGTGTGAAATTCAATGAATATAAGTTTGAAAATAATATAATGTGTGAAATTCAATGAATATAAGTATATTTATTGTTTTATCCATAATTTTTTTATTAGGTTTATTTTTTGATTTTAAAATAAGGTTTTATTTATTAAAAAATAACATGATCTCACCTACACCATAAAACTCAACCATTTCTCTCTCTCTCTCTCTCTCTCTCTCTCTCTCTCTCAAACCAACCACCATAGTTAGCTCCACTACCACTTTTAACTGTTGCCTTCAACCTGCGTTTGCACCTTCACCTTCAACCATCATGACCACTACCACTACAACTTTCAACCTGTACCACCACCATCTTCAGTCGATGCCTTCAACTTGCACCAACACCTTTAGTCATCGTCATTACCACCACAACCTTCAAGCACATTTAGAGACCATCTTAGATCCCCATCTTCGACAAAGGAAAAACATATATGGGAAAAATGCAGATGTCCGTAGAGAAAATATATTTGGATGTCAGAACCTATGATGAAAGATGGAGAGGTAGGTCATTTATCACTAAATGGGTGTCCAGTAGATCTGATATTTGGAGCAGTGTCCTATTGATTATTTTGTCTATCTGTGAAGTGAGTCTCCTTATTGTATCCATGGGTCGAAGGCACCAATGTCAGACCATTATTTTGTTATGCATAATGTTAGTTGCTATTGTTGGATTAGTGTCTAAGTCCATAACTATAATTGGTGTGTACTTGACCCGGTTGAGCATGACCCTTTTGGGTTGCCTTCACCAAATCAACTTGACTGGATGAATAATAGAGAAAGAGGTTATTATTGTTTATTAATATATTATAAGAATGATATATTAAAAGAGACATCATATTTATTTAATTAATATTGGTCAAGAATTAATTGAGAATTAATTTTGTGGTCAAAAGAGGTTAATTGAACTAAGGGGACTGAATTATAATTTTGTGATAGTTGCAAGGTTGGGCATGAAAACCCTAAAGGATAGGGTGGACGAATTCTAAGGATAAGGCCTTAAGAATTCTTCAAAATGAGGGATTCTAGAATTATCTTATGGGCTACTTGGTGGCTAAGTAACCAGATAAGGATAATGACTGAAACCCTAATTCCATACCTTTATAAAGACCCCTTGGGCATGAGAATTTGGCTACACCTAACCCTAGAAGTCTTGGAGACGATTTTTTCCTTCTCCCCTCTCACTCTTGTTTCATCCGATTGCTTTTGATGTTTGTGATTCATTAGAGGTACAACATTTAGGGTGCTAAGCTTCTCAAAGCTTCAAGATATACAATCAACAATCAATGTATTCATCTAACTTGTTTATTTGATATTCAATTAGTTTTGTTGTATGCTAGATTAGGGTTTTGCAAGTCTTGGACAATATGCATGTATCATTAGAAAAACTAGATCCAAGCATTAGGGTTTGCATGAACACCATAGGAATGTTGTTATGCTCATGACCAATCAATGGTATCAGAGCTTAGATTGTTATTATAATATATTTGATGCAAAGTTTATTGTTCAAATCTACAAATTCGTTATTCTGTTTTTGAATATACTCACGACGTGACCATACACGGCATGAATACAACTGTTTGCTGAATTACGATTTTTTTTTTGCCTTGATTTGCTTTGGATAATTACCATAAATTATTTTTCCAAATTAAAAATTAGATTTTTTTTTTTATTTTGGTGATTGATATCCAAATCAAATTAATGAATAATTGTCAATTTAAGATAATTATTAGCTTTATAAGATAAAGATTAATCATTTGTAAATTGATTTGAATTATCTTGTATGGAAAAAGATTAGGTCAAATTATGTGATAAATATTAATAATATGATTATCTAATAATTTTAGAATTTGATCTAAGTAATGTTTTAAAAAGTTTCAAAGCTTGCCCTCAAGTTTTGGAATTTAATTTTTGGATTAAAAGTTTAATTTTGAATTATTAAATTCCAAACCTTAGAATTTTACAAGTTTGAAATTCACCCTATACTATTATAATATTATAAGAATAATTATTATATAATTATAACTTAAATGCTAGTCTTACCGTTAGTAGGCCTCATTCACGAAGCCGATCTATAAGGGGGTTATAAGGTTATGGCCTATAAAATGGTCGTTTAATGGGTGTCCACTCTCACCCACCGCTTCCTTGATTGGTGGAGGGTCTTTAGCCGAATGGGTAGGATAGGGAAACCTTTTCCTCATTAAAAGTATAATGAATCTATAAAGTAACTAAATGTTTTTATAAAATTCTCAATCTTAGTTACTTTAGGCAAAAGTGAATTTGATGCAATTCCATGAAATTACACTTTGTACCCTTGCTAAGATGTTAGTAGAGCGTGTGTGGTTAACCAGCACACTAATTGGGCTCTAAGCAAAGGTGGAAAAGGGTGACTCAATGTTTGTCATAGATCGATGGAGCGTGTGTGGTTAACCGACACGTCGATTAGGTGACTATAACATTGGGGGCACCGTGTACATTTGCATGGTTATTCACACCCGCTTTGTGATCCTCATCATCTCAGTCACAAACTTAAAGGGCATATCCATATTTAAACATGTCATTGAAAAGTTCAATGAATCTCAAAAGATCTAGGAGTTTCAATACATTTAAAACTTAATTTAAATTTGTTTTGCATGGCGGAAATTAGTGAATCGTTATTCACTTACCTTCAAATTATTTGTTGTTTAGATTACGACATCCCTGTTCTAAATTGCATATAATGTTGTTGGATCCTAGAACTAATTTTTCATTTGGTTATCTAATCAAATTTTATCTCTTTTCCTTTTCAGATGTCGAACTTGAACAATAACGCTTCCTGTTCAAACGCCTCCGGCTCGTTCTCACTCATGAACTTGTGTGGAAGGGTGATCTTCGATGGAAACAATTTCAACGATTGGATCCGCAACATAAGGATGGTCACCCGCTACAAGGACAAATAATATGTCCTCGACAAGGAGCTGAAAGAGGTGGACATGAACACTGCCACTCCCGAAGAAATCGCTGCCTTTGATACCCATGAGCGTCATGCCACGAAAATTCATTGCATCATGCTAGCGATAATGACTGGTAAACTACAAAAGTCCTACGAGGACTTCTATCCCTACGAAATGCATCGGGACTTGGTGGAAATGTGTCACCAAAGTGCAAGGCAGGAGAGGTATGCTATCATCACTTCGATGATCACGACCAAGATGAGAGACGGAGAGTCTGTCACCGCTCATCTGCAGAAGATGCAGAGGTATGTTGACCGCCTGCTGAAGTTAAATGTTAACTTCGATGAAGAGCTGGCGATTGACATCATTCTACATTCGCTTCCACCCTACTTCAACCAGTTTCGCATGACCTACCACATAAATAAAGAGGAGGTCACATTGAGCAAGCTGCAAGGTCTGTTGAGGACTGCTGAGAGTAACCTCAAGGACAAGTCCATTGCATAAACTCCTACTCCTATTGCTGCCCCAATCTTGGCAATTGGGAAAGGGAAGGGTAAGAAGAGGAAGGCTCCTTTAAAGAGCCACCATAAGGGAAAGTCCCATGATGGCACCTATTCTAGTGGAACCAATGTTGGTTCTGCTAAACCCAACTCCAACCCCAAGGATGCAGAGTGTCATCACTGCCACGAAATAGGGCCTTGGAAATGAAGCTGCCTGAAATATCTGCAAGACATCAAGGATGGAAAGATCAAGTCGTCCTACATAGATATTTACACTATTATATCTAATGATTCATCACATACTAATTCTTGGGTACTTGATACAGGATGTGGTTTTCACATTTGTTCCGATTTGCAGTGCCTAAGAAGAAACGGGGATGTGGAGCATGGGAAGAAAAACTTGATCATGGGGAACAAAAGAGCCTCACCTGTCACCAAGATTAGATTTTACTCTTTAATGCTTAGTAATGGATTAGGACTAGATTTGAATAATTGTTGCTATTCGCCAGAAATGGCAAGAAACATCATTTCTTTTCATGGTTTGTATAGACAAGGTTTTAGATATTCATTTGATAATGAAAAGGGTTCTATTAATGCCTATCTTAATGGTGCTTTCTATTTTGAAGCATTGCCTTGTAATGGAATATATAAAACTGTGATGGTTGTAGATAACTTAGGAAATGATGTGTTGTGTATCGATTCTTCCATTAGTTTGGATATATCATGCTTGTGGCATTGTCGTCTTGGACATGTTAACAAGAAACACATAGCCCAACTCCAAAAGGATGGAGTGTTGGAGTCATTCGACCTTAGAGATGATGTCGTGTGTGAGTCTTATTTACTTGGAAAGATGACCAAGTTACCCTTCACTGGTACTTGTGAAATGGGTGAGAGTTTATTGGATCTCATACACACCGATGTGTGTGGGCCCTTTAGATCCACCACAAGGGATGCGAGCCGCTTCTATGTGACTTTCA